ATAGCATAATGCTAGGTTAATGCTTACTAAGACAAAAATACTTTGTAGTCACGCCACGGATGCCCCCGCATGCAGCCAAAATTTCAGATGTTACAATATTTAGTTTCAAATTTGTTTGCACAAACTATTTTTTTTCATTTTAAGTTCAAAGCCCTTAAAACTATTCAATGCAAACCATTTTTAAACAAAGTTCAAAGTACTGAAAACTATTCAGTGTTAACCTTTTGTAAATTGCATATTGCATATTTGTAGCCAAAATAATGACTACATACATTTCTACAAAAGTATGAGTGCTGAAACTAAAAATTCATTTTTTTCCAACATTCAAAGTCAAAGTCAAAGTCAAATTTCCTTTATTACACACATTTCATGTTAACATGAATAAATGTGGTTAGTAATAAATACAATGTTAGTAGAGGCTCTTTAAACAAATGTACAATGTATAATTATATAATTTGAGTGGTAAAATAATTCGTAGAAAGAGTATTTATTCATATCATTAAGAGAGATAGGTTTGTCCAAAATCATTGAACCACGACCAAATTCGAACTTGAACTGCTTATTCCTATGATGTATGTTGAATGTGTACAACCATTGCGGAGATAATGAACGGAAACTGAAAATTTCCATTTTTTCAAAGTGAAAGGGGCATAACCCAAAATCATCGAACCATGAATAAATTCGAACTTGACCTGCACATTCATTTGATGTATCCATATGTCAAATTTGAAATGAATGTGTAATACCGTTGGGGAGATAATGAACGGAAACTGAAAATTTCATATTATTTTCAAATTGAAAAAATAATGGTTGTAAAGATTAACATTAGTCTGAAATATGCATACGGTCAGAGACTTGTATTATATTCAAATATAGCTCTGTGACACGGTGAAACGCAATAAGCTTTCAAACATTTGACATAGATTTTTTTTAAATTATATAATGTGACCAAAAGAAAAAAATGAATTCATTTTATTGATTTATAAGGGACGTAAATATGGTATGTTTTTGTCAATTGAGGGTGAAGAGTCATTTCCCTTTCACTCTAATTGCAATCTACCAAAATACAATTTGCAATATTTTAGTAATTCAATTGGATGATTCGATTTTATTTTGAACGACGGAGGAAATTTTATACTTTGTGCATTTATAATTATATCGAATGTTTAATTATAGTAGATAAATTCTTGCACCAGATTAATCCCCCATCCAACAGAGCGCTTCAAAGGCATTGCTACATTCGTGTTTAAATTTTCAAAATCCTTTTAACAAAATGACTTGTATTTTACTGTACTTGGTCATACACATTGTATGGCCATGTAGATTATCTTGCTTGATTTTTTACATGCAAACACGTGTTGTCATAACATTTTCGCACCCACTTTAATTGAAAGTAATCACGCGTTAATCCCACGTGTATGATGTTTAATGGCGATGAAATAAAACTTCAAAGTCAGCTTCAGTATGTTTTGTCCTATGATCAATAAAGTTGGTAGGAAAGTTGATCATCATTCACATATGACCCCTATTGATTCTGAGATCAGTAGGTCAAAGGTCACTAACAGAATGTATGAAGGGGGATATTTCGTGTTCTACGAACTTTAGTTCATAATATACACACAGTGCAATTTTTGTGACCTCGTGTACATAAAATTTTCATATATGATCGCCACAACACGTAACTATGCAAGATCAAAGGAAGTCAGTGCATTAGATATGGCCCTTCCTTACTTTTTATACTGTATACACATTTCACAAGTTGTGTAACTTTTAACAAAAATTCTACTGCCGGTGTATAAACTAGTTAATCTTTATGTACAATATCAATATAGTTGATCTTATGAATTGTTTTGGCCCTAAGATAAAGTTACATTTTTTAAGTTTTAAATTTCGAACGATTAACATTATACCTTGCCTTACTAATTAAACAAAGAATTTGTTTTCGAAAACGCTGTTCTTTACCACGTAATTGACATAAAACATTAACTTACAATATATAGAAGCATGTAAAGTTGAGTACTGATAGGCCGATGCTATGATAGGGGACTTGGTCGCTAGTTTGCTATGTCCACTTGTACCGCTCATGAACAGACTCACTCAATTCGAGCCTTAAGTGTATTAAGTGTTGAGAATTGAGTACCGCTCAAGCCGTTGCTAGGGTGCGTGGGGGATGTTGCACGTATTCATTATCCCTCATGTAACAGCAGGTGTCAACAACAGGTGTCAAGTGCTGTGTGGCAGCTGTAAAAAGTAGCCCCGCACTTCACTTCAGTGTTGTTATATTTTTCTGGTCCTTCTGGATCATTGATACCAGCACTATTAAGTGTTGAGAACTGAGTACCGCTCAAGCCGGTGCCAGGGGGTGTGAGGGATGTTGCATGCATTCATTATCCCTCATGTACAGACTGCAATCAAACCGAGTCTGCAATTCTCTTGTAATTTTTTTGTAATTAATGCTTCTGAGGGATCACTTTGTTTCCATATTTTTTCTACATTTGAAATCTTGCCGTAGGGGGACCGATACCTCATTTATAGAGGTAGTTAACATTTCAATTTTTCATTTATTAGGAAGTATAAAAAGGCAAAATAACACAAGTATTAAAGACGTTTTTTTTGTGTCAATTGTTTCAAATCGTTCGTATAATACAAAAGTGTGTAAACGTACTCATGAATACAATTCATTCGTCTAAATCCCTCTATGCATGTAAGAAGATATGATTCGGACAAAAATATTGCGAGGTGTCCGTGGCTAAGTGGTAAAGGTCTTTGACTTTGACTTTAAATAAATTTTCCTCTCTCCGCTGTGGGTTAGAATCTCGTAAATGACTTGGAATTCTTCCATGTGTTAAAACTATCCAAATAGCTTACGGACCGTCGGATGGTCTACTCAGGTACCCATTCGTGTCTGAAATAATTCAAGGAAGTGCACCTGAGGTTTTCCTGTTCCCGCCAGCCCACTATTGGTGTAAAAGTGATCAGTGAAATAAGAAGCAACTACTTTGCGTTGTGTCTAAAATGATAATGTTTATTAACGGTAAAATAACAATGCAACGGAAATGACGTCGTATGAACTCTTCTTCCCGCCAACGTAACGTTGTCTGCCTGCCGTTCCCGCTAACGTAACGTTTTCGTCTTACGACATCCTCCCAGGCGCAAAATATTGGTAACTCTTACATAGTCTCAAGAGGGTACAGCTTTACAATTGGTCTTGATGTAGTGTGCCCGTTACTGGTGCGAACCATGGCCGCTCGTGTCAATCCATCTTTACCAGTGATCAATTGTTCAATAGTTCCTAATTTCCACTGTGATTTCGGGGTTTCATCATGAATAATTACTACATCACCGTCCTTAATCGTTGGCTATTGTTTCCCGTAGTTTTGTGATTACTGGCGTAATGACGTCAAGTACTCGTGACGCCATCTATCCGGAAATGACTAATGATCTGTGCCTGTATTCTCGCTTGTTTGGTGATCCCATCTCTTGAAACTGGTTTTGGTTCGGATATATCTTCATTGTAAGGCAGGGTTGTCAAACGCCGTCCGTATAGCAAATGAGCTGGTGTAATTGGTTCTGGGTCGGTTGACTCTGACGTAACGTAAGTCAATGGACGGTCGTTCATGACGCTTTTTCTACCTCTGTTACGATTGTTTGGAGAGTATCATAAGTGACATATGCACTACCAAGTACCTTTTGATAGCTGTTTTGGTAAGACCGATTAATCTTTCCCACCAACCACCAAACCAGGCGAGCGCGCTTGGGAATAAATCTCCACTCTGTACCATGGTTGTGTAACGTGTCTTTTACGGAAGTAGAATTCATTAATTGGCGTATTGTATTTGCTGCTGCTTGAAAAGTTGTTCCGTTATCAGATATCATAACCTTTGGTAGAGATTTTCTGCTACTGAATCGCCTAAAAACGCTTGTAAAAATGAAGATTCAGTCATATCTGAGACTACTTCTAGATGAACAGCTCTGGTCGAAGCACAAGTAAAAGACAAATGTATGCCTTCTCATTTTTTGGTTTTCCTCGTACATGTAACGCTCCGGTGAAATCAACTCCAGTCACAGTAAAAGGTTGTGTATCTTGAACTTTCGTATCTTTGGCAAAGGTGGTGGATCTGGCGCTGTGTACGGTCTTCCTGACACTCGGCGGCACTGGTTTACACTTCCGGAGTAATTTCTGAATACACTGGCGTATCGATGGAATCCAGTATTTCTGGCGTATATGCGTAATAAGTGCACTCGTACCTGCGTGTAAGTGTCTTTCATGGGCGTCTATAATTATAAGTTTCGTCAGTTGGTGGTTTGCCGGAAGCAGATATGGGAATCGGGTTTGCTCAGCTAAAGGGGCGTTATGAATCCTACCACCACAGCGAATGAAGCCATTCATTGTCAAGGTATAATTGTAGTTGCCTAACAAGCGTTAGGTTTCTCCTTCCGGTCTTGATACATGTAATCTCAGCGCTATAGGTGTTGCTTGGCAATTATGAAGCCACATCTTCTCTGCATCGGCAAGTTTTTTACAGTTAACGTCAGAGTTGACGTATTATCGGAAGTTCTCGCAGATCGGCAATGTTGAATGAATCTCATCATATAGGCTGTCACCCTAAGAAGCTTTCTGTAACGGCTAAATCTGTTGATATCAATGACATTGTGAATTCCGTAGGTTGTCATGGTAACAAGTGTATCATCTTGTTCTTCTGCGAGTAAAACAGTTGTTACAACAGCTGGTTGGCTCGGGTACCGACTTTCATCAGTTAACCAATCAGGACCTTTCTCCATAATCTACTCTTCAGAAATTCAGTAGCTGTAATTCCTCTTGTCAACATGTCAGCCGGATTGTGCTCGGTTGGACAGTACATCCACCTTCTGTTCTCTGTAAGATTGTGTATTTCAGTCACTCTATTCTGTTCAAATGTTTTCAACTTCCGGTTGGATGACAGCCAGTGTAGAACAATTTGACTGTCAGACCACATGTGTACGGATGCTGTAGGTATCGTCTATAGTACGTGCTGCAGAAGTCTAGAACCAATCACTGCAGCCATAAGTTCAAGCCTTGGTAATGTTAGAAGCTTCAAAGGTGCGACACGTGTCCTTGATATAACACGTGCAGACTGGTCACCTCGTGTAATGTATATTACTGATCCATAGGCCTTAAGGCTGGCGTCACAAAACACATGAAGATGAATATCTGAGGATGCGCTGGCAGCACTGTCGCCTATACCGGAAGTAAATGCCAAAGAGTCAGTTTCCTTGAAGTAACTTCTCGGGTATCTGGTAGGGATAACACTGTTTAAGTCTTTAGCAAAGTTATACCATTGGGTCTGTAGGTCATTTGGTAGGGACATGTCCCACTCGAACTTTTGCTTCCAAATATCTTGAAGTAGGATTTTTGCACGAATTGTGAGTGGGGTCAGGAAGCCAAGGGGGTCATAAATCTTCGCTGTTTCCTTGAGTATGACACGTTTTGTTATAAATTGGGAAGTAGAAATGGTCTTCTGTGCTAAACAAATCTGGTCTGATATCGGGTCCCATTTCATTCCAAGGATGTTAGTTATTTCTTCAGTTTCGGCTACTTCTTCCGCTTCCGCTAGGCTGCGCAGGGAACTGTTTTTAGAGCTCCAGGACCGTAAGATAAAACCAGCAGATGTCATCGATTTGCGTGTGTTCTGGAAGTAGTCCAGTAAAGTACTCTCGTCAGAAAAACTGGACATCACGTTATCAACATATAAGTCTTTCTTAAGTATTGCACTCACCCAATTATGATCATTGACACTCAGATGCTTGGTTAAAGTGGCATGAAGTATAAATGGTGAACATGTGGCACCAAAAAACACGGACTTGAATCTGTATGTTATAAGGTCACTATTTGGATCATAAATGTCGTTCAACCATAGAAATCGTGTGACGTCACGATCATACTCGTTGAGTTGTATTTGAAGAAAAGCCTTCTCAATATCTGTGCAGACGGCATATCTGTGCTTTCTAAAGTTCACTAAGATACTTGTCAATTCGTTGATCTCAGGAGGGGTTGATTCTAGGCAATCATTAAGACTGGGTGAATTTTTGTTTTGACGACAACTACAGTCAAACACAATACGGATAGGGGTGGTGGCCGAATGTTTCTTTACTCCGTGATGTGGGATATAGTGCACGGGACGCTCACTTGGTAAAACATTCACTTTCTCTATAAATCCTCTCTTTTCCTGGTCTTTAATTATGCCGTCGTACTTTTGTAGTAAAGGGGGGTCTTCACGTAGTCGTCGTATGGTGTTGTGAGTTCTTCTTAATGTGATGTTATAGTTGTCGGGTAAATTAGGGTGATCAGGTTTCCATGGCAACGAAGCAGTATACTTGTCATTTTCAAAGGTAATGCAGTTTTTCTGATAATCATGCAAGTAGTCAGAAGCTTTTTCTTCTGTTGCGGGTAAAATGCCGATGGATTCTAATTTCCAGAATCGCTCAAGATCATTATAATCTGGTGCAGATGTAATAATGTTCATAATGTAATTCGTAGCTGTACTTGATGACGTCACCGGAAGTGGTCCGGACAGAAGAAAACCAATCTTTGACTGGACAGCAGTCGGTCCGTCGCCCCGTATAATACGGTCTCCAATTATCTCCCAATATCTATCCGCTCCAATTAGTAATGATATGTTGAATTTGTCAACTTCCGGGTACTGGATGGGCTAGTTTCAAACCTCGTAAATATGGCAAATGTGTAGCTGCTCGTATTTGGTTACGTAAAGGTACAGCAATAGACGGCAACAATTAAGACATCAATGGCCACTTTCTCTGAGTTGTCAGTTATCAGGTAAACTGTGGCGGTTTCAAAATGGCCGACTTTCTTGGACTCCGCCCCGAATGCAGCCAGATGGACAACTTCAGACCCGCGTCTCTGTAATTGTAGTGTTTCGGCGAGTTCATGAGTAATAATATGAACGCTGCGCTCCTTCGTCAAATAAAATGTTTGCTTTAGCACAGGCGTGACCGGAAGTAACCTCAGCAACAGCAGTCTTCAGTAATACATTGTTTCTACTTTGTGTTGCAGAATGTAGAATGGCCGATTGTGCACTGGAACCGGAAGTAAGATGCGTTGTTGCTTCACTACCGGAAGTAGGGACGAAAACTTGGAGCCGATGTGTTCAGTGAGCTTCCGATACTCTGATCGCAAATGCTGGTATGGTGTTTCCGGTTGCATTTTCTACAGCGGTGTTTTGAGCGACAGGAAGCAACAATGTGTTTGCCTAAACAGTTGAAACACAGTTTCTTGCGATGAATAATGGCTTTTCTCTCCCTAGGATTAATGATGTTTTTACAGTCATTAGCAAAATGATTTTCACTGCAGAATGGACATTGGGGGCGTTGGGGTATTTGTACTTCTTGTATGTGCTTTAAACTTTTCTTCTTTTGTGTTGGTCTTGTACTTGTAAGGAAAGATGCAGTTGCCAAATGTTCATATGTAGTCTGTGTTGGCTGGCCTGAATCTATTATATTTATCGCTTTCTTTAACGCTCTCCTAAGTACCGGAAGTCGCCATTCACTCCCGCCATGGTCGCGTGTCATGTTCCGCTTGATCTCCGCCGGAAGTTTTTCAAGTATGACCGGTATAAGTAAATTTCCAAAGGACTCATGACCTTGACCTAGGGACTGTAGACCACGGATATATGCCTCCATCTTTTCTTGAAAAGGTCTTTGACTGGACAGTTGGGAAGTTGGTCTAGGTAAATCCAGCAAACCTTGCATGTACGCATTTACAACTTTATGTGTCTGACCAAAACGTTCCTTGAGTAAATGTATAGCTTCTGAATAGTTTCCATGTGTAACATTCAAACCATCAATCACACTGGCAGCATCGTCGGACAATAGAGTTTTCAGATAGCAAAATTTCTGCACCTCAGATAGTGACATGTTGTTATGTATGCTTGACTCGTAACAGTCCCAAAATGTTTGCCACTCCAAAATGTCTCCAGTAAAATTTGGTAATGTAAGCTTCGGAAGTTTATGAAACTGTGTTGCAGACTGAATTGAAATTTCACTTACGTTATTAGCCGATGTGCTATTATTTCGGTTCCCGGAAGTTCCTTCGGTGTTACTGTGCACGGGTTGTGCGGTCTCATGGTTGTTACTATTTAGGGGCTCATCAAGTGTGTTGTTCTCAAGGGTAATTTGTGGGGAACGGGTGATCTCCACAGCAGCGCGGTGTTGAGCCTCCAAATCTCCAATGCGTAGCCGAACTTCCAGCATATAGTCCTCAGTCTCGAGCATCTCAGTTTCCAGGTCTACCTCATCTACCTGCGACATTATCTCCTCGTTGATCTCTTCCAGCGCCATAAGTTTGTTGCGTAGAGTTTCAAGAACGGTAGTAAAGTGCGTATTATCGCCCGCATATTCTTCTAATTTGCCAAGTTGACGTGTTATCACAGCCTTATGTGCACTTCTTCTCTTCTTAATTCTCAAAATATCCATAATTTCTGTTTTGTCACGGCACCAAAATGTAAAAGTGATCAGTGAAATAAGAAGCAACTACTTTGCGTTGTGTCTAAAATGATAATGTTTATTAACGGTAAAATAACAATGCAACGGAAATGACGTCGTATGAACTCTTCTTCCCGCCAACGTAACGTTGTCTGCCTGCCGTTCCCGCTAACGTAACGTCGTCTTTACGACATCTGGAGAATCCCTTATACGTCTTTGTATACATTGCTTGCAATGCATACAGAGTTATAACTAAATCTCCACAAGCGTTACAGGTTTAAGCCTCTACCGAACAACATCCACTTCCGGATAAAAACCGCTATAGGAACTAGTTCTTCATTCTGCAGTATTGTTACATTCCGACTACACATCATCAAAATATTGTTTATGCTTTGAACGGGATTTGTTTAAAATTGTTTAAAATTTGAATAAGTTGTTTTTAAGAAGGAAAATACATATTTTTGGTAGGATTATGAATACCAAGCATTATTTGTAACAATTTACACAGGGAGTTTGAATGATTGTGCACATTTATTGTTTTTCATTTTGCTATGGACTTTTGAATAGATATCTGACGGGTTTGACCCGTGTAAAAAATAGCTTGTCTTTCATTAGATAGTATCATTGAAGACTCAATATTACTGTTTCAACATTCTACATTGCAGTCCATTAACGGGTGTTTCACAAACTGATTTCTTTGTTTCTCATCTATCAGCTTGCCTAGCAATACACAGTTGGAACATCACATCTTCCTTGTCTCATTGACAATTTTTGAAAAAATAAGCCTTAGTTTGAGTCAATTGTTAGGGACATTGGCATTGGCCAGAAGATGACCTCTATTGATTTTGAGGTCTGTAGGTTAAAATCAACATGGCTTTGATGACAAAAATGGATTATACTATCAAGCAACGTATACCTCAGTGCGTTCAGTGCGTTGATTTTTATTTATTAGTTTTTATTCATTTATTTATTTAATATATATTTCTTTTGAAATAAGCTATTAAAAAGGAAAAACATGAAAAAGCTTAATGTATCGAATATTGAAAATCACACGTCAATTTAAAATACAATTAAAATAAGAATCGAACAGAAAACAAGCCATACAAACAATAATTATATTTTTTAAGTATGAAAACTTAAAGGTATATTTGTATATACTGTAGATAAACCTAGCTAGAGGTAACTTTATCCATAATTAGACAAATCTATTGATCATTTTCTATAATTTCACTGAAGTGTACTTAGCGTTTAAAGGGACTTCACTGAGGTTTTTTGACATGATGGGACTGAAAATATTTTTTTTCCAGATAAATGTACAATTTGATGTAGGTTAAGACCACTCATCTTTGTGTAAAATTTCAGATTATTCGCGCACTTCGTTTATCCAGAATAATTATTCAAATTGTAAAAAAATGACCCAAAATGAAAAGCGTTTAAACACCTTTCACTCAAATCGGGCTAAGAAAGGCATAAAAATACGATTTTCAATTTATTTCAAAGTATTTTTCTTAACTATCTTTGCATATATTTCTGTTTTAAAAGTGCCCCAGCTCATTTATGTAAGACATTCAAATGTTATGTTTTTAGGCCTTTAAACCTCAGTGGAGTCCCTTTAAAGGATATTAGTCATGTATTTTACATGTTTACATTTATTTAATGTAAAGTAATTTATTAATGAGTATCCAGCATCTAATTTTTTCTTAGCGACAGACCCAAAATTCTCGAAGAAAGAACTTCCCTCTGAAGCATTAATTACAACAAAATTACTTGAAAATTTCAGACTCGGTTTAAATTTGGTTGAGTCTCTCCATGAGGGATCATGAAAATCTGCAACATTCCGGCTTGAGAAGTACTCATTTTTCGACAATTGAACAATCCCGAAATACCATAAAAATATAACAGCACTGAAGTGAAGTACGAGCCAACACTTTACGACTGCCACACGGCGCTTGACAACTGCTGATGTAATATATAAAATTCTGCCTCGGACGTATATATCACAACAAAATTACATGAAAATTGCAGACTCGGCTAAATTAAGAGACGAACATATAAAAATGTTAACCTGATAATGATGTAAACTTAAAGTATTTTTGAATATTCAAATTCATGTCAAAACACTTAATCTGCTTTAATTTTACGATAGAGCCGGATAGACTTCGCTCAAATGAATAAATACAGTGCGAATACGTATGTTTCAGGGTGTTAATGCACTAGAAGATAAAGAAAGTAATAACATGCATATAACCGTTTATTTTTCAACAAACGTATTAACAGTTTTTTAATAAACCCAATTCATTCATAATAGAAGGCGACAGAATGACGTCATATAAACTTATTGGTGTAAAAATAAAGACATATTCGAATTTTTCATATTACTTTGTTCCTTTTCCACTTTAGACCCATTCTCATATAGAATTGCCAATATGTGTCGCCAGCCTTTAAAGGTCCATAACACACGTTGAAATAAGTTTGTCTGTAACAAACATTTCCTTTCCGATAGAAAGGTCAATTTCAGATAAGAAAAATCATTTTTTATAGTGATTATGAAGACTTTCACGAAAAATGCGACTTTTGGAATAGCCCTAGGATCCGCATTTTCTTATGTCGCCAAACATTTCTTTTATACTTTTAGGTTGTTTAAATATAGATTGACGAGTATTTAAATCAAAAAAATGTATTTTAATTTACAATATTCAATTACCTTATTTAACTACAGTAATAGAAATATTTGTTTTTTTATAGATTTGTGTTTTTCATCTTCACATTATTTCTGTCGCTAAATTGGATATAATTTACGAGTCCAAACTCAAAAACCATATCAGACTTGGGAATATATTTGTATTTACTACAATGAACAATTTTTAAATGTCTTATATGTCATCCAAAATAAATAAAGTAAGTTTAATTCAATGTCTCTTTTTGTAAATATATGAAGAGGGTTGCTTTTGAGTTGATCAAAACGGGAAAATAAGCTTTATAATCTACGGGACATTTGAGTTCAAGCTGTTTGTCTGTTCATTTAATATGACAGAACAGATATTGTCTTCACAAGTTGTAACTGCAATGCTGCATTAACCTCAGAAGGTAAGTTTATTATATTCATTTTAAAAATATATAGATATGTTGGTGATTTAATAAGCACTTATTCGTAGAATTTGTAATTTACGAGTCCTAATTTACGGGACAAAACCCGCCATAAACCCGTTTTTAATTGTGTATATTATACACGTTTCGCTATTTTAAACCCCTATTCGTCCTTTAATAGACAATCGGAAGTAAACGTCACATGTTCGCCGCCATATTTTGAAAAGAAGTTGACTTGCGGAAAAACTTAAACTAGGTAGATATTTGAAACATATGTTCATTTTCATTTAGCGATTGTGTTATTTATATATAAGTACAAAATCATTAGCTAAATCATTATTGATAAATATATGTCAAAATTAAGTGTCGGTAATAAACACCGGCATTTATTCTGCGTAAAAACATTTCGTCCCGTATATTAGAAAAAAAAGTCCCGTAAATTAGAAATAATGAGTCCCCGGCCTGACGGGGTAATTATTAAAAAAGTACAAAAATAGCAAGTGCAAGACTTATACAAAAATAATGTTGTATGTATCTACGTGATTAAGTAAAACAATATCAATTTGAATGTTGTCCTTTTTGAATAAGTGCGTTTAAAAGGAAACGGATTTTTACATCTTTACATTTTCATTGTATATGTACATTTCACACGTAACTTTTAAAGCTAACTGTTTGTTAGATGTGTTTAGATTCGATTTATGCACAATGTAATATCTACCAACTTTGATTAATTTCTAGTATAATTACACAAAAGAATGAATATGCTCTGATATATCATTTTATGTTTCTGTCCCGTAAATTAAAGTTTTTTGTCCCGTAAATTATAAATATGTTTCTTCAGCTCCTATAAGTATTTTGAAGAAACAGTGTAAAATTAATTGTAAAGATCACAATAAAAATTTAATCCAAAGGGAATTTGTATTATTTCCATTAAAAATAAAATAGAAATATCAAGTTTAAATAGTTTAAAGTACCCTGATAGATATAATTATTTTTCTATTCCAGGATGGCTAAATCAAAATCAGAACGCATGAAAGAGTACCGTGCCAGAAAAAAAGAGCAACTAGGTGAAAAGTGGTTAAAAAAAGAGCGGGAAAGGGTCAAAGGCTATTATAAACCAACAGAGCTACTTACTGATGAAGAAAAAGAGTACAGGCGGGCAAATAATAGAAAGAATGGGAAAAAGTTTTATAACATTCACAAAAAACATGACGATCAACATAATGAGACAACAGCTTCTGAAAGTAATTTTGAAGGTGAAAATATAAAAAGACACGTGCAATGAAGATGCTAATGGAGTAAGTAGTACTGTAAACGAAGATATACTAACAGTGAAAATGCCATTTCACACACGAGAGTCTGGACCAAATGGTAAGAAAGCTCCGAAGAAGAGACAGTCACGCGCATTGAAAAGATCATATCAGCGCATTGAAACTTTAGAAGACCAAAATGAAACGCTAAGAAGAAAACTTAAAACTGCACAGAAACGAATTGAGCGTTTTGAATCTGCTCAAAAGAAGCAACCTACAACCCCTAGAAGCAAAACAGATTCTTTATTGAAGAAGGCTGGACTCCAACCGCGAGAGGTTCCAGAAGTTAGAAAACAACTGATTTATGCAGAGTGTATGACTCAAGAAATTAAAACAACTATGGCTGAAAACCCTAGGGACATTGACCACTTGCAAACAATTATTAGCGGAAAGGTGATAAAGAAATATAGATTGAGAAAGTATTTACAGGAAATGACTGATTTAGGTAGGCGTAAGATATTGAGAAATAAAAGAGAGAGTAGAAAGAGCATGAGGTCAAAAGCAGAGAAAATAAAAGGCGATGTTCGTGATTTTCTTATCAGAGATGATAATTCACGTGTAATGCCTGGCAAAGGTGACAGCGTTAAGGTTGGC